CAGCGCTGTAGGGCTTGTTTCCAGACAGGTCCAGGCGCTCCCCACTCCGCAGGCCCCAGCCCACACGGCCCAACCACTCAAACACCCTCCGGCGGATGACCTCTGACCTCGGTGACCTGACCCCAGCCGACCGATCGCGTCCCTCTCCACGCCTCCGCCCCGCTTCCCCCACTACAGCTGCGTAGTAATTGTAGCGTGTGCAAATGTCACGTGGCATTATTTACTTCTGCGACTTGTTCGGCTGACAAGAGATGGCACTAGGGGTCTGTGGATCAGAGGCGGGGCTAGGTTCTACGACTTCTTGGGGCACACTTTAGGGCAGAAAAGAGGTTTTTTGGCTCCTCATCCCAAAATGCTTCGAATATACAAAAACAAGTTAGATATTCGAAAATCGGAGGACCAAACGGATCGTTTGACGTATCTTGCGCGACTGAGAATTGATCGGTCTTCAAACTACTGAAGAAAAACGAGGTGATTAGTAGCAAGTGCTGGTGACTGTACATACACGGTACATTTATGGTAGGTGGTCAATACGGTAGGGGAGAGTGTGGAAAGATGCCCAGGGTTTTGCTTATTGCTATGTCATATATTATTCGAAAATGACGATCGGAAAGCAAAAACGTGGAGTTTCAACGGAAGCCGACATAATTTTTCTCCAAAAATATCACACTTTCGTGCCAGAAATATGATAACTTTTTTGCTATTTAGCATTTTCCTGAAGAAGTGAAAGGGGGCATCTTACCCCACAGGGTGGGAAAGATGCCCCCTGGCGTTGGGGAAGATGCCCCCTGCACCATAAGTGACATAAATGGGCACGTGAATCGCCTGAACGAATCAGTAGTCCCTTCGAGCCTGCAGTAGACACCAAACGTCATCGTAAGGGCCCTCAAAAGTAGTCGTAAGGGGCTTCCAGTGGCGTATCCAGGATCTTGAAAAGGGAGAGGCCAAACCTGCTCAAGGGGCCCCACCCTTACCTTAGGGCCCCAGTGGTAGCATAGGTCACGTGACCTAAGGTCAACTTTTGACCTTTCGACCTTTCGAGGTCAACATACATATGTTTCGATGCGGATCGACGAGAGGATCATGATGGTGCTATTAGTTTGTTCCTAGCTGGGATACCTTGAAAGTTATTCGAGAAAAACTTCATATATATGTATGTAGTGCCGCAATTTTGACTTCCTTTTTGCTCCTGTGACGTCATCTTTGACCTGACCTGAAAATGACCTCAGTAAAAATTATAGACCTTATCCGTGTGTACCCTGCACCGTTTACCGCTTGTCGCTATCTTGCTTTATTCTCGAGATCTCGCTGTCGCTCCCGCTCGTAATAATGGACAGGTCATAAAAATGACCTGACCTGAGGTCACGCAGGGCGATAGCCACTTTTTTATTTTCGCATATGAATGACAATTGATAAGGCTTTAATCGTCATCAGACAAAATAGCAACTTTCAGTGGGGAAAATATCAAGGTCACTCTTCGAAAAATAGGTCAAAAGGTCACGTGATCAAAATTTTCAAAAATTGAAAATCCGAGATAGCCAAAATGTTTGTTGGTTGATTGTGAGTTGAACCATATAAAGTTTTTATCGTAGAAAACCAATAGTTTCTGAGTTATAGGCCGCCAAACATAGGGCTGCAGCGCGACCCCCAGGAATTGCCCGAGGCTATGTCTCGGAAACCGTTGTTCGAAGAAAAAAATCCTTGCTTCAGCTGGCTTCCCCGCCCATGACAACCCAGTAGCCCAATTTTAAGCAAAAAATAAAATATGAGGGTGCAGGGCACTTGTCGATTTGTCGTGGAACGCCCCCCAGGTCATGTATGTAAGGCCAGGTCACCATGGGTCATGTCAAGTGACCTGACTCTGAGCTCGGAAACATTTCAATGCTCGCCATAGGCATTCCGATTAACCTTCCAGGCGGTGGGGGGGGCATTTTTTTTGCCCCCCCCCCCCTTTAGTTTTTTCGATATATCTCGAGAACCGCTGCGCCGATCGTCACCAAGCTTTCGGTACCCTCCCGTGAACAGCTATTGCACATTGTGACCAATTTTTTTTCCAAAGGCTATGATAGGTTGGACGCTAATGACGTCAGAGTGACGTCATTTCTGCCATTTTCGACCCAAAAAAGGTTTCGCGAGAAGAGCTGTCAGGTCTACAGCTTTAGAGATACAGAAAAATGTTTCAGACATAAAAGGTGTAGAATTTAAAGGGCTACAAACCTGCTATCTCGGATTTTTTAAATGTTTGGATTTTGACCCCCAAAAATAAAAAAAATAGATTTTGTGAATATAATTGCCGAAAAATCCAAAAAGTTTTTGGAATTTCAAAAAAACGGAAGATATGTGATAGTCCCTACCGCCTTCTATCTACATACAAAATTTGAGATCGATACCTCTTTTTTTGGCCAAGTTATAGCGAAAAAACTGTTCAAAATTGATGACGTCAAATTTTCAGACTTAATTTTTAGCCATTCTAGACCTCGTAGCGCAAAACAAAGACCACCATAAGACTCCCCGTGACGAGCTGCATCGAATCAATACCCATTTTATGCAAAATATCAACTTTGAAATTTGACCTTTTTTGACCTGACCTTGACCTGACCTCCACCAGAAAGTGACCTAAACCGTACCTGATGGTCTTATAACAAACACCATTGAGTTGGAAATGAAAAACTGGCCATAAAGCATGCATCGCACAACCTTAGTAAAGTTTGGTTCATGTGGTGACCCTTGGTGACCTATGGTGACCTGACCTGTGACCTGACCTGGTATGACCAGTGACCTCTAATAGCAACATATGTACTAGACAACTGACGCCCTATCGCTGATTTTCGATAAAATGCGTTTTACTCGGTGTTATAGCGTTTTCCCTAGAAGCCCCGTGAACGGTGAAACATTTTATCTTTGACCTGACCTGTGGCGTCATCGGTGACACCGAGCTCAATGAAATTTGGTTTCCTTCGACAAATTTGACAGGGCTATCGAACGCCGTTTGAATTTTCCGGATCCGTCCAGAAGTTTCTGAGATAAGGGGGGGGGGGCAAAAATTGCACCCCCCACTGCGCGGAAGGTGGCCGGGAGTCCCACCGCCTGCCGGGTTAAACGATGGCTTTGAAACTTTCAGTGTTTGATCAGGGTGATAATGCATATGCACCTATAAATTTTATTTTCGGAATATTGATGTCGCTGACCTAAGGCCAGGCCTATTGCGACCTGTCAATGGGAAGGAACTGAATTGCGCTCATTTGGACGAAAGTTAATAATTCACCCGCTGACATTGTGGAACTATTACTTAATTTAATAATGAATCGGAATATTTCATTCTTGGCACCTGATATAACCCTGAGGTCAATTTAGGTCATATACATAGGTAAAGCAGGCTCGGTTTTCGACAATAACTTTTGATAGAGACATTCTATAGAACGAGTAAAAACTCGTTGGCTATGCGGAACTTCATTATACGGATCGATCGACATTCGACATGTAACATGAATTTTCCCGGTAAGGTCATGACCTTGACGTGTGGTCAAGTTTTTCAAGCTCATTTAAAGGTCAAATTTTATTTCATTCGACGTCTCGTGGAGAGAAACACGATGTCGCCAAATAAATGTCGCACTAGCTTGTGGAAAAGGTAAAACAGAATAATTCACAAAAAGTCAAATTGACGTTTTTTTGCTTTTTGACCTTTGGTGGCTAATCGTCGCCCTTAGCTTTGAAGGTGCTTATGCTAAAGAGCTTTGAAAGCGTTATCGAACGCGCTTTACTGCGGCGCTGTATGAGCTCTTTTCATTCACGAGTTATTCACCGATTGGTTAAAAAAGAAATTTTTAAGTTTTGCTGCGATTTAAGCCTCGATGAAGCAACCTTTGACCTGACCTAAAGATAATTGATTTATTTTTCATGATTTTTATTTGTGACGTTTTTTAACGCCGCTTTTCGCGTGTCAGTGTATCCAGAAGCCCCCCCCCCCCCCCCCCCACACACACACACTAGGGCGTTAAAAACCCAGCGGATGCGTGAATATCATTGTATCGGTAGGTATAATATCGGTATTTCGTTAAATCATTATCTATAATTATCTTTTAGCCATCGGTATATCATTATCGGTTTATATTATAATTATTATTTGTTACCACGGCTGAACGTAAGAAGCAACATCGCCAACGAGTTTATTTCTCTCGAAATTTTCTAAAATTCACCCTGACGATCGCTGCATCTGATTGACATCCCTTCATACCTACCAATATCAAAGAACAACTTTGAAATTTGGCCTTAAATGACCTGATTTTGACCGAAAATAATTCACCTCTGATGATTGGCTGAAAATAATTCACCTCTCATTGTTGACGTCGTTTGTATGATACCTTGCAACAGACCAAAAGCCATTCATTTTTTTCCTAGTCGGCCCAGTAGTTTCGGATAAATCCCCCCCCCCTCACCCCGCCCCTATGACGGGCATGCCCGTCATGGGTCCGTCGTCTGCAGGGTCCGGCAATGGCCGCACGTGGATCGAACGGGTCAATTTTGATATCCAAACACTCCCCACTCAACTCGGAATGAGAGATCGAGCAGTTGGGGCTAGCCATGCGCATCAAACTCTGCTTAGCGCTAGCTCCGCATCTCCTAATTATTCCGTCCCGTCCAATCGTTCGAGATGATAAAAAATATAAGACGTTTGTGATTAAAACGTTCCAAAGCGATGTGAATGTGTTATTTCTTACGCTGATAAGGGCCGAAACGTTTTGGAAGCGAAAGTTTTTCATGTTTTGACATGTTTGCCGAGATGCACTACAAGCACATATCATATTACAAAAAAAAACATTTGTCTATATACCTACACGGGTCTTCCATGCTTTCCATTTCGGAAAAATAACTATTATTGGATACGAACTACGGGGGCATGCTTCGGTCAGCTTTCTTCTGAAGCGTGTAGAATAAATGAAATAAGCTTCATTTTCAATAAATTTTTACAGTATTCCTATGTGACACTTACATAAATGATCACACTAATAGCCAGTCAGCCACAATGTTGTGTGAATGGGGGGTTTACGCTCTGTCAATAGCCAGTCAGCCACAATGTTGTGTGGATGGGGGGTTTACGCTCTGTCAATAGCCAGTCAGCCACAATGTTGTGTGAATGGGGGGTTTACGCCCTGTCCACGGCTCTTCCCAGCGCTTGTCTTTTTAGTGGCCTTCGTATCACGGTCAAACGCAGACTGAAATCAGCTGATCGTGGTCGGGTGTTGGAGGCGTCCTGGTGAATTTGTGCTTTTTTGCTAAGAATTAGCGTGGTTTAGGCCTGGATTTCTGTTCCAATCGCTTCCTAAGGTAAGTTTCTCATGATTCAAGTATCAAAAGCTGGTCAGTGACTGGGTGAGGTTGAGAAATAGACCGTTTTCTTCCGGCATCGATCGGCCATCTGCGCCATACTTGTTTTCCCGTCGCACGCTTGTCTCCGCCCTTTTGGCTGCAGAGCGTACGAGGGTAGTTGAAAGGACAATGTGTCAAATTGTGCTGTGGTTCTTCAGAATGCAATATGTTCCAACTAAATATGTAATAATTCTCATTATTTTTTATATTTGGATATCAAGGAAGTCATGTGAATCTTTCTCTTTGATAAAGACTGCCTAAGCTGCGAGATTGACCTAACTAGCAGTGTGGAAGGGTATGCCCAAGGTATGCCTTTGCATGTAATTTTTATTATTATTTTCAATTATCATATTTATTTTGTTCTCTAATGATTCTGAAGAATCAATATCATTGATATATTTTTTTTTAATGAAAATCATTTAAGCAAAAGAATAAAGTAAAGTTCATGCTAGACCTGCCAGTTTCCATTCCTGAGGAACACAGCAATATATGCATAACATAATCTGACAGCTATAGTTACCAATTAAACAAAATACTTTCTCCCCACTCAAAAGTCATGAAAACAAAAACTTGTTATCCTAACAAAAAATCAATGATGCAAGTAATGGTATCAGACATCAGTTATGGTAGTGATTTATAAGCAAGGAAAAGTAAACTGGTTTTGTGTTTTGCTGCCTTTGCTTTTCTGGGATGGAAAACAATTCTTAATGAAATGGTAACCCTGCTGATTATTCATCACTTAGGCATCATTTATTGTGTTAAACAAAAGTTTTTCTTCTTTCATTTTGTACTATTTTATGATACAGGCATTTATAAGTGAGATGATGCAGTTGTGCACACTATTGATATGTGATATGAATAATAATAGGTGTGAGGTGTGATCCAAACTTCCACAATTCATCATGTGATTTGTCATAGCTAGAAATTAGAATTAGACAAAAATAATCTCAATTCAAAACTGCACAACTGCTTGGAGGTTATATGTTATGACTTATGAACAATCATTTTTTTAAGTGCAACAAAGTGTTCTATGAGGAAAACATTTATCTCCTCATTTCAGTCTGCTCCTTCGTTTTATTATTGAGTCCGTTCCGTACTTCTGTTCAGCCGAGGCCCTCGTTCAGTCTGTGGGTGCAGGTGGCGCTTCAGCGCGGCATAGTTTCTCTGATAGTCACCAGATGTCTCTGTGCTCCCTCGACACCCTCACCGCCTCAGGATTTCAGAAGCCCCACTGCTGTCTTCAACCATGTCCAGTACTATATTAGCAACATTTGAAGGAGTCCTCGGATGGACGTCTTCTGGGTCAGAATTACAGTATTTCACACCGGTACGACCAGCCTGTGACGATTTGCAACGAGGGCTGAGGCTTGGTATATTGGGTATATTTGTGGTGCTTTGAGCCGTAGAAGAAGACAGGAATAACCGGGGAAGCCTGTTGACGAAAACCTAAAAAGGTCCATCAAGGGCGCAGCACGACCGAATCATGACCATGCATAGAGATGAGAATTCCTCCAGGCGAGAGGCGATCATTTGTCTAGAGCTAGAACCGGTGAGGCGCTGCTTTTAATAGCCTTCTCCTTACATCCTCCGACCAGCGAATTGCTAGGGCAGTATCTCATTTCATCATTAGGCTTTCCGCTTCCATACTCGGTCAGAAGTCAGTTGGTTTTGGGCACTTGGGTTCAAGTGCACTTTGGTAAGGCAACCCTTCTAGCTGCGGCTCCACGGAACTTGAACGGGCTACCTGACATTGAATCTAATTACGTTTGATCGATTTCACGTCCATATCTGCGCTGCCGAATTCGACTGCCGTCCTGCGGGACAGCTCGTGCCCGGCTCACTGGCCCTCACGCCGAGGCGATAAGGTCGATAAGGATCGGTCTCAGGGCGCCACCTGGCGTGCCCTGCGAGTGCTTCTCCAGTCGGAACGGCCGCGCCGCGCCGCCGGCGGATGCGGCTGCGGCTGCCGCGGCGGTGCGGCCGATTCACCAGCTGCACAAGGTCGCACGGCCGCCGCTCAGCCGGCCGGGAGTTTATTCATGAGACCCCCGGACTCCGAATAGGCCATCGGCGTGGGCAGCGCGCGGGCCGGTTCAGGTAATGAAGTGTAATGTCCATTCAGGGCAGGTGGATGGGATGGTTATCCGACCTGGTTTGGTGCTCGAAATGTCAACATTTTCCTTAAATATTTACCCAGGATTTGGCCATAGTGATTTTTTTTTTTAGTAACCTGCTGAGACCAGAAGACATTGATTTATATTTTAGCTTCGAAAGAAATTGAGTGTCATTTTCAGATGTAGACTAACATGTTTTACGCATGGCAGTTCTCGATCGATGGCATCCTGACGCAGATGGCAAGGAAAACTTTCGATTTTCAGGACCTGGCGGCTTGCGAATATGTAGGCCCAGTTGTGATACGTTTTTATCTTGTCTGACCCATGCTTCGAAACTGCTTCGAGTTATGACGGCTCAGAAGACCAACTCATTCATGTTCCGCTTCTCAGCACAGACAAATGGGAGACCGAAAGGAAAAATCTACCGCAAGTTTTCACATTGCCGTCGGCTTTTCACACGCCATTTCGGTGCCCTTTGCGCGTTCGCACGTAGATCCGTCAGCGCTGTCCGTGGCAGGCGGTCTTTGGTGCGGTCGGCTGGTGCGGTGGGACGCGTCTGAGCGCGCCGTGGGCCTGCCGCCGGCGGAGCGGCACCGCCGCGGGCGTGCTGGGGCGTGCTCTGCGCTCGTCGGTTGTCCGAACTGCCCGACATCAGTCGCACTCGCGGCACCTGCCGAGATCGGCGGCGAGCGGGGTCGAGCGGCCATGCGCCGTCGACCGTCGGTGTTCCCCGCTCACATCCCGCGCGACAGTTGCCCCCCGGCTGACCGCGGGTGCGTGGCGCCGAGTGAGCTGGCGGGCTGCTGCCGTCCGTCCCCCGTTCTCCAGAGCGCTGGATCGATCTCTCAGCTGCCAATCGGCTCACTCAGACGGTCGGTATTCGGGAGGCGAGCACGGGGACGACGTCTCCCGTTATTGCAGCCACTTGCCGCTAGTCTTATTCGTTTCTGGAAGTGCCACCTCCCCCAGCTGTTTTCTAACGCTGGCAGGATAGACTTATTAATGCATTGCATTATATGCTGGAAAATCAGTGCGATAGGTATTCATTTGGATTATTCGGTGTTCATCATCCGCATGATGCATCTTATCTGCCTTTCGCTGCCGAATACTGGTAGAGGTAGATATTCTGTCCTGCTTACCGCCCTCCACACAAAGCTCCTCCCTGCCATGACCGTCGCTGGGCGGTGCTGCGTCGGACGGTACCAGCGGGACGTCATCGACCCTGCCCCTCTGCCCGCTCTCGGCGCGCTGCCGTCTCCCTCGGCCCACGGACGGACCGGCCGAGCTCGTCACCCGACCCAAATAGCGGGCGGTATGGACGGCCGGACCGGGGGCGGGACGATACCTACCTGTTCATTTCTCACCGGTACCGATCTCCGCCCGCCGCCGATCCCCGCTCCAGATCCCACAGCCTTCAGCAGTCGTACTCCGGGCCGATATTGCGTATTCAAATGCCGCTGCAATCGGGTAGGAGTGATATTGCATGGCTGGTCGCCTTGCCGACGAATACTGCAGCTGGAGTTGGGAATTGATGAGGGTAGAATATTTGACAGGTCGGATGCTCAGTTACACAATCGTTTGAATTGTGAACTCTTGGGTTATTCGCACGGCGGGAAATTTGTCAATTCAGGCGTGAATTCTGCTGCACGAACTTTGACGATGTCAGATCAGCAATTAACTTACTGAAATGGGCTTATCGTGCTGGAGTGCTGTGTATTTGAATAGGGCGAGTTTAGGTTATATGCTACAACCACTTAGCCCTTCTTCGGCAGCTTGGTACATACGTCTTCATCTGGGACCTTTTAACAACATGCACCCATCTCATCTTTTTCTCGCCAAACAAGATGCCTATCTGTCCTTAGGACTTTCTTTGTGCCGTGAATCGGAAGAAATTGATAGATGTATCAAAACAGCCATTGGTCTGTACTGCGTACTCGAAGGCCTATTTCCCCCGTTTCTCTGAGCCCCAATCCCCGAACCCCTTATCCGTCCCATTATCCGTGGTTTTCTGATCAACAAGTTTCGGTTTTGATTTTGCTACTGGTAAGAAAACAAATCGGCTATTGATAATTTTGTCTCCAGTATTAGCTCCGAATATGGTACTATGCCTACACGACTAATGCTCATGGATGCGCATCACTTATAACAGGACACACTTTGAGGGAGGGACCCAGCCGTGTGATTATTAGCTTCCGAGCTGAGACCAAGGCTCTGACCGGGGCCTGACTGTCTAGTCTCGCAGGCAGGACTATATTTAGTGTGATGGTGGTCGACACAAAAATTTGCTGAGTTGTTCCGAGGATAATTGAAGATAGTAATTAAACTCGCGTCAACCAGTGAGTGAACTGAAACGACACGAGTCCAAGTCGAGCTCATCCAATCGACATCAAGTGTTTTTTAGCCCAAGTTAACAAAAAGTGTTCAGCGGAGTCATTTCACAGCTGCCTATAAATATCGATACTTTACGTACGATTGAATTTTGTAATGTAATGTATATTTATCAATTCGTATTCTTCAAAGCCGTTCTCCTTAAAACTTCTGTATTAACAAGTTCATTCCTGAATTTGATAGGCCGTCTATAGAAACGTCCGATCATTTCTTTGTTGGGCTTTGATACTTGTTAATCGTATTTAGCTAGTTAGGTAGGTATTGGATATGATTCATGTAAGCTTATGCTATTTCCATCTCCTCGATTACTACGGAATGCGAATGTTCAATGCAATACCTACATTGCCACCATCCTGAAACATTTCGTGCGTGTTACCTACTATTTTACCTTTTATTTTGTGCGCAGTAAATAAGATATAGTCTCCTAGGTAAAAACGTTCAACCGCAAATCATTACTTGAGGGCATAAAACACCAGTCGTTTGGTTCAAAATACGAGATAATTTGCTTCATGCCTAAATGTTTTTGTGTGTTTGTGTTTTTGTCGATAAAATCCTGTGATGCAGAGTGCTATGCTTTCGAAATCACGCGTTTGTTTTACGGATTATTTTAAGTTGCGTCTCCTTTTTAATTATTTTCATTCAGCTTCTTTGGCTCTTGCTTACTGTTCTTTTCCAATATCTAATGTTTCATGCTGGCCATACTCTGCTAACCTACTTGCAGTCCGCTATCGGTATTCATTTGTCTTGTTTTTGCTGCCAGGAACGTTGGCTGCCCTCCGATGTGAGATGGCCACCTCGCCCGCCGCCGAGATCCACCTGACCGGGACGCCCGGCAGCACGCCTGCCAACGACATGGACGACTTCGTATCGCTGCCCGATGACGACAAGGACCTCAGTCTGATGATCGAGTCCAGTAAGACGGACGACCTCAGCAACGCCCTCCATACCGACCCGGACGCTCCGCGCAAAAAGAAGAAAACCCGTCGAGGAAAAAAGAAGCAGCGCCATGCGCCGCCTCCAGAGGGCGTCGTGAACGCGGTCGAAGATAACCAAGATGGCGCTGGTATTGCGCGCCCAGAGGACTCGGCCGCGGCGGGCGCTGCTGCGCCCTCACAGAACGACGACGGAGAGCAGGCCGTGCCGAGCAAGAGACAGCGGCTGAACCGGCGGCAGCGGCGGCGGCGGTCGGGCCGGCTGCCGGCGCCCATCCTGCGTCCCCGGGACGTGCCGCGCGCGCCGCTCAACTCCACATCGTTCATCATCGACGACCACGAGAACTCGGCGTTCTACATCGACTTCGACGCTGCGGCGCGTCGCTCGCCGACCGGCCCGTCGGACGGCTCACAGCTGGAGTCCTCGACGGCCGATGACGAGGACGCGGAGGAAGCGGCGCTCGCTGAGGCGGAGGAGTTTTCGCGCAAGGACTTTGAGAACGTGTACCGACGCGCGCGCGAGGAGGAGCTGGCCGAACTGGAGCGGCCTGAGCTGGTCGAGTGTGTGCGCGCTCTGGAGGCGCGTGTGCGCGAGCTGGAGGCGCAGCTGACCCTCTACGACCCGGAGGTGTGGGTGACCAACCTGCAGAACCAGCTGCTGCACCTGCAGGAGGAGAACCTGATGCTGGTCAAGACCAGGGAGGCGCTGATGAAGAAACACGGTCTCGAGACATGATCGGGCCCGCGGCCAGCACGCACGCGCGAGGAAATGATTAAAACTTGCTGCACAATTTCGGAACTTTTGAATTCTTGTTATGAAAATGGCCTAGCTGAAGTATTTATGCATCATTTCTCTCGAGGAATGTACATCTGAAGCGGCCCATCAGAAATACCTAGTCGTGTTCTGATCTGTTTACGATAGTTGATTGAAATTACTTATGTCTCATTTGTTCATGTGATTTGCATTCCTCGAAAGCCATCGGTGCCAAATGGAATACGATGTGTTGTGTTTTCATAGCATGGATTCACGCGTTACCGATGTGGGCGGTGAGTTGGTGTCACTTATTTCGCGTGTGCCGGCGTCGCGCACGGCAGCGGCGCCGAATCGGCTGTGTTTCATGTACATACCATTATTCGTGTAGCGGTGGCCGAGCGCGGCCCGCGTCAGATTCAATGTTTATGCGCACACATATCCTGTGGTGCGGGCGGGGCTGCGTTTTGGGGTGGGGGTTGGTGGCGACGGCGCGCCGTAGCAGGGACTGGGCCTGTCACCTCAGACACCCGCACACCTGTCTAGTCCGATCGCTGCGCTCGCGGCGACCTATTGCGTGCTCTCACGCGCCGTGCGTGTGCCCGTTGTGATCCTTTTAACTCGGAGCGCCCCCTGGGCGGGTCGCCGCGCCGTTTCGTCGTCTGACCGTTTTTTGGAGGGGGCTGAGCGGGGCTGGGTGGCGGCGCCGGCGGCGGTGCCGGTGCCTCTGTCGTGCCGGCACTGACCGGCAGGCGACGGGGCACCGGCGGGCCGCCCCGACCTCGGCTCCGACCCCGCTCAGCCACCGACCTCAGTGGATGCGGGAAATCGCGGACGTTTGCGACCTGACGTGGCTCGGCCGACTCGAAACACGACCGAAACGCTCCCCTCCTCTCTCCGCCGCTCTCGTTGCACCTGGGTCGCTCTGTCGCGGCATATATTTGCTTTTGTTCGCGCTGAGCAGTGTGACTGCCAGCCTCAGCACTTTGCTACAGATGGGTCTCTTTTTGGGGGATGGGAGAGAAAATGTGTTGTTTCTGCTGTGTTGTTTTTAATTTTATTTGTATATTCAAGTGCATTGTGAGCATGCGCAATACGACTGCCACCGGATACGAAAGTTCCGCCCGTGACTAGGCGCAAAACACCTGTTTTTGGGAGTGTACAGCTTCACAGCGCTTACGTTTTCTCCCCTGACCCAGTCATTGTACATATTGTAAATACAGGAGCGTGACTGCGCAGATATCTGTTAATAGCTGGACGCGTTTTATCCGGTTTTAAATATACCCACGAATACCGTTTATCTATCGGCTGGTCGCAGTGGAGCAGATAGCGTCAACCTGAGAGTCGAACTCCGTTATACTGTACCAACTATGCCGCTGGCTTTTTGACAGACAGGCCTCGTCAGGTGACTGGTGAATTTCTGGATTACGAAGGAAGCGGAAATAGGTACAAACGCAGCTGCCTCGTGCCCGTCCTTCGTAGGTTCGCCAGTCCCGACCTCCCTTCCGCATCTACTGAAATGGAATGGAAAACCTAGCGGTGGGACAGAGTGGTCACTCGGCGCACTCAGCGGTCAGTGGTGTGTGAATTGCGATTCAGAGATACGGCGATAAGACTCGATAGGTTTTGAACGAGAGGGGCATGCGAGCCAGCCCGTCAGACGGAGTGTGTCGGCTGCATAAAATAGACGGTGACAGTTGTGCTACAATTGACACGAATGAGAACTTCAGCTCCCAAGCCTTACCGTAAAATCTTTCAAGGTAAGTAATGGTGGGGACCAAACATATGTAGGTTCTTTACTAGAAGGTCCTAACTACATGTTGTTTGCTAATTGTTTATCTTATACGATGGGATTCAAGCTGAGAAGTAACAATTTGAAGCACCTTAGGTATATTATCAGTTAGCTACATTCCGTGCTGATAACAGAGTGAAGGGCATGAAAAGAAACTGAAGAAATTCAACTGCGGACCATCAGCCTCAGTTTCCCCACAAACCAATATTTTTGGCTTTAGTTTAGTCCCCGAAGCCCGGCTGTGCTCACCAGCCTCACCAGTGTGACTGACTATAGGACTGGGGTTGGATTAGATCACTATTCTTGTGTCTTGTCTTAGATATTTTTCAAAGCTTCAATTCGGTATGCTCACTGGCCACTGCATCACAGATATTTTCCGAAAGGCTGCCTTCCTGCTTTTTTGTTTGATGCCTTGTTTCAATAATACTGGGATCATGTGCAATAAAAAGTACTTTGCAGTGAAATAATAAAATTGTTCAACAGCAGAAAACTTTGTAGGCATTTGTGACGCGAATGAGTTCTGACGCAGAAACCCGCCCACTTGTTTTCATTTGGTCGGTTGTTTCGGAGCGGTTGGGTGCGCGCGCTGTGGATGGGGTTGGGAACATAAGTATTTATCCGTTCAAAAGTAACAAAATTTTTAGGAGTTTCATCATGCATCAAATAACATATTGGTAAGTACCATTGATTTGATGTTGATGTGTGGTCTGTGGACTGTCGTATCTGTGTTAAGGTCAAGTGAAGTCAAAGAAATCAGAAGCCCAATTTCAGTTTTGTTTTCTCATGATTTTGGCAGTTCAGTATGGGAAGTGCTGGCGTTTTCTTTGAAAAAATTAATGCAGTGCTAGCACTGCTAACACAACAGCTGTTGTGTTCTTTTTCTACTGGATATTTTAGATCCAGAGGTAGGCCTGCCGGCTACCATTTTTCTTTTTAGTTCAATTTCAATTTATCGTCAGATGGATGGACTGATTTCTTATGAGACGTAGTCAGCAGTACCTAGTGGCGGAACACCCTCACTGGGTGGCACTGCCGATTTTTGGTCCCATTCTTTCCATGCAACGCCCATAGGGGTAATGTTAAAATGCCAAAATTAAAGGAGGCACGGTGCCCCGGTGCCCTCCCTGTTCCGCCACCTATGGTAGTCAGGGTAATGTAAACCATCTCAGCTGAAGTATATTCAATTTTATTTGCTTTTGTTCTTATGTTGGTTTCATTTTGCACGGAGAACTTCAGGATATACCTAAATATGCAAAGATATGAACATGTGTGAGCACAATACTAGCCTTGTGGCAAGGTTCCATGCAAGTACACAGCCATACTGATTACTGGGAGGAACCTTTAGATGAGCCCGCATAGTGCATAGTGACATGCACTAAGTTTTCACTTAAAAGGGTGTGCAAATAATGAAAATTCCATTACATTTCAGAAGTACAAACCTGGGGAAAAGAGGTCTTACATGGTGATTGCCTTGTGATAAGAGAACCGTGCAAGTGGTGGTGGTCCCCATTCTGCTGATGTCCCTTACCCTGTGTGTCTCTACCCCTCTCCTGTCTCGCTGTGGTGTCAGGTGACTCTGCTGGCCTCTGCCTCACCCTGTATGTTTCTGCTACTGCCTCAATCTGTGGATTGCTGTCGGTCTCCCGCCTTACCCTGTTTGTCTGTCAATCTCCCGGCCCACTCGGCCCCTGTGTGTCCGCTGATCTCACGCCTCACCTGTGTCCGCTCGGCCCTCAGACGGCGCCGGGACGGTGGCGGTGGCGGCGGCTCCATGCGGTCCGTCTGCACGACGCGCCCATGTCTGCCGCGGAGCTGTTCCTGCGGGACGGCCAGTGGGTGCTCACCGTGCGCCTGCTGCCGGGCGTCTCCTGCCTGGAGGCCGCCTGGGAGACCTGCTTCCGGCCGCCGCCCAGCTGGCTCGACTGTCTCCGGCCGCCGCCCGACTGCCCCGCAGGTCAGTCAGTCTGTCTGTCAGTCAATCAGTCTACTTTTCCGACCGCCGACCGACTGCCCCGCAGGTCAATCAGTCTGTCAGTCAGTCAGTCGGCCTCTCCGATCACTACCCGCCAGGTCAGACGCCCTGTCAGTCAATCAGTCAGTCAGCCAGACGTCAGTCTGTCCGACCACCGCCCGACTACCCCGCAGGCCAGTCAGTCAGTCAGTCAGCCAGCCAGTCAGTCAGTCAGTCAGTCAGTCAGTCAGTCAGTCAGTCAGTCAGCCTCTCCGGCCGCCCCACTTTCCCGCGGGTCAGTCTCGCACTCAGTCACTCAGTCTGTTTCTCGAGTCATTCAGCAGCTGTAGATCGCCGGCAGACCGCCCCTGCAGGCCAGTTAGCTTGCAGCCTGTATGCATTAGGCGAGCTGTCGAACAGGTTATATTTAGGCTCATGTGTCTCAGCCCGTCATGTACTATCCATTTAATTCAGCCCCGGTTGGCTCTAATGCTACTGAATGATTTAACATTCTCGTAGAACACTGACGCCAGCAATTAACAATATTGATTCGTTCGTACCGAGATTGCGGTAGAACCAATTGTAAGCCGCCACCGGTTGTTGCCAAGCGTCCAGTCTGTACCAATCATCGTAAAAGACCACGTTGGTTTTATACTATCGGGCAGTAATGAATTCAGCAAGTTTATCTGTTCCGATGAATTAGATGTTATTTCTTTGCTGTGTTGCCTAGAAACCTTTTTTGAAGAAAGTACCTCGGTTACATCGAGCGTACAGTGAAACTATGTTGGACATTCTATTATTATCGAACATTTTATATCGTAATCAGTTTTCGTTGTCGCGGTTTTCATCAAGCGCTCGGACGTCGCTTATGTAACCCAATACGGCTGTTGGCCGGCTGTGAGACTAGCTAAATTCGCTGCCGCTGTATCGAAGCGGCGAGAGAGCCGGTGGTTTGGTGTCCCCGATCGCCAGCTGTTTAGTCTCGGGCCGTCCGGCTTGACCGTGTTGGCTCGTGGCTGCAGTCTTGGCACCTCGTATCTGGCACTACTGGGGATGCCATCAATAGGGCATCGATTAGCGCCACGCACCGGGCGGCCGACCTTCCTTCCCCTCCCCTCCGCCCCTTTCCCCCGCCACACTCTGTAAAGGTCATCGATGAGCGGTAGCCCGAATACAGGCGCAGTAGTGGAGCCTATGAAAGGCGACTGGAGCGCTCAGCGCAGCTTCGTAAACCCTTGGCGAGTCGCCGACTCATCCCGAGTCTGCCATGACTGAGTTTGCGGTGACTCTTGTGGCCTTGGAGGGAGGAAGCGCGCTCCGCTGAGCGATTCAAATTTGACCGCGGACTGCGGCTGTGAAGGGCTCTTCGAGCTCTTCCGACGCTGGGAAACCCGCAGTGTTGGGTGGAGTGGCGTATTGAGCTGTTGGGGTGCTAACGCCGGTCGTGACGGGGCCTCTCCAGTCGAATCGGCTCTCACCGACGCTGTTTTGACGGTTCTCGACATCCAATCGACTCGGCCGGAGAGGTAGGACCGGGCAGACTTATTACACACACAATCGCGTCGTGACTCAGCGGCCCTCCCTCCTGGCCGTGACGTGACGTGATGTGACGGAATGACGTGACGCACGTGCGTCACGGCCATCGATCTGCGCCGGCTCCCCGCTCGCCGCTCCGCTCCCCTAGTGTCGTCCGGAGGGGAGCGGAGCCCCTCGTCTGTCCGGGGAGCGGACGGCAGAGACCGGCCGGCGCAGTGCAGTGTTGACTTTGGCGGCGGCTGCTCGCCGGTCGGCTCGGTGGCGTCATCGCGCCGGTGACCGTCCGTGCGGGGTCCGGCGCGGTGACCTGCAGTGGCGCTGGGCGGGGGCGGGGGCGGCCGCAGCTGCCCGAGCGGGCGGCATCGATCGTCTCGGGCGCGGCGGTCGGGCGGCCAGCGCAGCTCGGAGCAGCAGTCGGCGCGGAGGCCGGCCGGTGCCGCCGCCGCCGGCCTCCGCCATGCTGTGGCGGGCTCGGCCGGGTCTGCTGTGCGCCGTCCTGGCCAGGCCGGCCCTGTGGCAGAGTACTGAGCAGCGGCTGAGTCTGGTGGCGGCTGCAGCCACCAGCGACACGGACCTCAGCCTGTTGGCCGGCTCCCTGGGCGGCCAGCTCGACGGCATCGTCCACTGCTACGGCATCCTCCTGCGCACAGGTCGGTCGGGGGGTGGACGGACCGGCCAGCGGAGGGGAGGGGGAGGCCTTGGGTGGGATGGGACTCGGGGGTATGGCTATTTTGAGGTAGAAGTATGGTCTTTCGTCTTGCGGCTGAAAGAAGGGGGCGGGACTGATAGTTGTCATTCGCACAGCCTAGGTGCGTTTTCGAATGAATGAAGACAAATGTATCCGCTATTTTTGATGCATCATTTTGAATTCTAGCGTTTCAATGGTTTGATCAGCCTTGCATTTGACAGTCCCATTTCCGGATTTGACTTTTAAACTGATATGTTGCTAAGTCAGCTGTTTTTGGACAGCCTCCAGCGATCACTGATTCACCCGAGCCCCGTCATTCATGTTTATCTTGGCCCCGGTATATGCCTGGCTCTACACCGCCGCGTCAGAAGTAAACGGCTCATGACGGTTGTTGCCGGGGCGAGCTTTCACAGTTAAACGAAGACTCTTCCGTAATGGCTACAGTCGACAAAAAGCCCTCGCTGGCTTTTCCCTCCAAATGACAAGTATAAACAAAGACTGATTGTGTTTGTGGTTGGGCGGCGTTACCGGTGTGGAACGGTTCGTTTCCGCTGTTGAACAAATGGCCGTCGACCGAGACAGATCGGTGTCCGTACCGCCGGGGACGGCCGGCAGCTGGTGGGGCGGAGCGGCGCGGCAGTGGCTGGGGAGGTCCACCAGAGTCGCATCACTCATCAGTCGTCGGCCCCATCCGGCAGCTCCGCCCGGCACAGGCCTGGATTTATTTCCTCTCTGCCGCGGCCGCCGTAGTTGATGGATGGATGGATGGATGGATGAGTTGACCAGAGTCGATGTCTCCGCTGACCGGATGACATTTGCTCTATATAAGAACGGTCAGCAGAACAATGGCTTGTTGCTTTTTGATGGCTGATCTGTCTGAATCTTCCATCGCTCCATATCTCCCTCCGCCTCGCCGCCATCGTTTCCGTCCCGGGCGCCTCTTGTTATCCGCCGCCGCCGCCGCCGCCCGTCACCGGCGTGCGGTTCGCAGGTGACGCGTGCGGCTCTCCGGCGCCGTGTGTTGTCCAGCATATTTACGTCTGGACAACGAGTTGCGGGGAAAAGTGCTGATTTTGTTGCAGTTTTAGGAGCCGGTGATAAGGCTGGATTTTTGGGTTACTTTTTCGTTCCGATTCATGTATTTCATAGTGTTTGGCTTTTGAATATTTTAGTTCTTTCAGATAAATATTACTTGCCTTACAACTTTTGTAAAAACGTTTCATTTTTATAAGCCGACCTTCAGAGTCCTAAAAATACATCAGCACTACAATCATTGTAAACAAGCAAATGGAAAAGACCACTTGGCTCTGTTCCAAGGCGCTTTTTAAGTTTATCTGGTGGTTTCCGTACTCTTGTACGTCGTTTTGTTGGATGTTTTGGATCCATTAAGATTGACTTATATCATATTTAAGAAGCATGTGACTGAAAACAATCCGAACTATCCAGGAGGCTGACAGAGGTCCTGACTCCTGAGCAATATCAATATCAAGTTGAACTTGAAGTTATTAAATTTTGGTTGATAAACGCAAGTTGATCGGGCTCATATATCAGCAAAAAAAGTAAAATTAAAAGAGCTTATTGGCCGAAAACAAGCTATAATATTGCAGATCCTGGAGCAATACTGAAGAGCACGCTGAGCAGGATCATGCCAGAAAATGTTGACTGATGAGTGCATATTGATGTATTGGTATGAATATTGAATGATAACTTACAACAGCAAGATAAATTAGTGCTAACTATCAAGTTAAAAATCTAGAATGAATGGACTTTGGCAGCTTTACTATGCTTAGATGCTGTGCAGATTGTAATGTGCATCCTACTCAGTGTCTGGCAAATGAAACATGCGATCATTTCATTGCTACTGCAACTGGAGGAGAAAGCTTGGATCACCAAATCCACTTAATGCTGATTTTGATGTTAATCATTACTGTATTTCTTGAAAAAAGGATTGTTAGTGACAAAATTGTCAATGTGACAATCCATGCAACGATGTGATCATATGATGTGTTCATAGTCATTCATGATAGTGATTCATGATTGTTGGTCCAATATACAATGGCAAAGCTCTCAGTCTCAGCGTTTCTTCCTGTGGATGGCCAGCAGTGACTCACAGCTTAGAAGCATTAGTTTTCTTTTCTTCACAGGGCTGGGATAAAAAGTACTGAGGGTAATCTTCCACCAAGGAACTCTACTTTGAGTTTTGACATGGTATGAGATGTAGGCACAAGTAGGTAGGTGCTTAGTTCCTATAGTCAGCAGTTGTGTAGGTTTAGTCGAGTTAGCTTAGATTAGGTTATGCTAGTTTTTTAATTTGCGAAGTGTCCAAAAAAATGTGACCTGAGCAATGAGCATACCTGAATATAACCTGACAGCTGACCTAACCTCAATCATCACACATATTTGCAGCCTTACCCAAGACCTGCATAGCAGAAGCACCCAGTTATAGGTAGGTACTCACCCTAACTCAATCTTACCTGCTAACCTTCAACTTGCCTATAGTTAGCTCACCTTGCCAAGCTGCATCCAGGGAAACAGTCAACTGAGGAACTGGCTCATTGGGTGGCTGGTGTGAGTCTGTGCATTGAAAGTGTTTCTTCTCTGAAGCTGCTCTGCACTGCTGTATGTCATGTTAGATGCTCAGAAAATGTGGGAAATGATTACTAAGCTACTTTAGTGCTTTGTTAATGCTCGAGACATGAACAAGTGCAGATCCTGCAGGGTACAGCAATGAGTTAGGTGCTAGGTGAGTATGTTATGTGAATGTGCTGTTCCCTGTTTGACCATAGTAAGTATACAAACAAGCAAAGGGTCACAGTTATATTCAATCTCCACATAAACATACAACAAAAACGGCCATATAGCCTCACTCCGAACACACTGACACCACAAATAGCTTAAGCCTTTGCAGGCACAAAAATGCTTTGATTTACAGGACAGGTATACAATATAACCTCTGTCCTTGGGGATCTTGCTGCCAAGTTGAGGTACGATGACTGAACTTCAGGATTGATCAACCTTTTCTTCTTAGCCACTGCTTATATACGAGAAAGACCAAATGCTTGTTTATAAACTGCCTTGAAAATTTAATGATCCACCTTCAATTCTGACATGAAGGCACAAGTAAAATAGTTCCCACTCCTTTTGGAATACACAAAGCAAAATATTTAATAACTTCTAGTGGATGGACAAGAGCAATTGCCACAGCTTCTCCTCAAGTTAACTTCTGGCACTGATGAATAACACTGACGCTAATTCGCTTCATATTTTGTAACAAACGCGCAAAAACTGCAATATAACAGCACTTTATGCTTCTTGACAAAATGCAAAAGTAGTAAAAATTTAGCCCTGATGGCATTCATTCTTGGTGGAAACGTAATTAGAAAATATTTTGTAGTAACTATTAAATTCCGGCCGAAAACAGTGCACGGTTTAAAAAAGAATCATTCCAATGGCGGTCCATTCTTGCGGTCCTGAAATCGCCACTATTTCCGGCCTCTCCAACGCAACTCGTTGTCCAGACGTAAATATGCTGTTGTCCATTACCGACCGGAAGCAGCGGCGACGGCGGTGGCGCGCGGCGTATGGCGTGCCGCTCAGACTATGAGCTTCCAGCGGCCGCTGGGCGGCGTGGGAGCGGGCTGAGTTGAACGGACGCCGCTGACCGCCGCCGCCGTCGTCTGTTCCGTAGCGCACCTGTGTGAGTGCTGCGGCCTTCCGGCGGGCCCAGCTGACTGCCCCGCCGGCCCGTGTGAGTCGCTCCCCCGTCAGTCCGGCGTGGTGCGGGGAGCGGGCAGTGCGTGCAGGACCGTCCGCCGCTCAGCCGGCTGTGTTGTGCCGCAATTCTGGCCCAATTAGAGGCGCTCCATCTGTGACATTCGTCTGATCTTTCACGAGTGGGGTCGTTAGTTCGTCCGATCGCGCCGCGGCGACTGTTGAGTGTCGTTATTGACTGTGTCAGTCAGTGAAGGGCGGCCCTGTTGGCCGGCTGCGTCGTTCTGCGTTCCGGCTGGGGCGCACTCGAGTACTGGTGATTGTATCATTCCGTGCAGCGTTCCGTGACGCTATCGTGATTCCACCGTGACGTTGCGCCGTGACGGTGTACCGTAACCCGCTGCATCGAGCCGTTCCCGGTCGCCGTGACGTGGTCGCTCGGTGGTGCCGGGAGTCTCTGGGGGTGACCTGTCACGGCCGGGAGTGTCGCCGAATACTCTAGTTCCGCCTCTGCGGTACAGGAGAATCTTCTGTCTCCCAGAGCTAAGTGTATCGCTGATACGCTGACCTGCTGACACGTCGCGTGCTGGGTACGATATCAGCGTCGGCGTCGGCGGGCGGTGGCGGGGTTCGGCGGGACACACCTGCGGAATGAGTCAGCCGCGTCCCGGGCGGGCCGGCCGTGTCAGCGGTACCGTGAGTGGCTGTGAGCGCCTCCCCAGCGGCGGCGGCGGCGGTGACAGCAGCGGCAGCCGTTCTGCAGTCGCCGGTGTGTGATGGCGGAGACCGCCGGCGGCGGCGGTGACTCCTGGACGGACTCGATGGCGTCTGTGCGGCGCGCGCTGCTGGCCGCCGGCCGGCTCTGCTCCGACTGGTCCGAGGAGGCCGTCTCTGAGCCAGGTGAGCGGCGCGCTCTGTCCGACAATCGACATTGTTCTTCCTCCAGTTTGGGTAACCCTGAAGTTCCTCTGGTGCCCGGGCCTGTTCTCTCTCTGGTTCCGCTAACCCTGATATTGCTCCGGTAGCCAGGGTGCGTTATTTTACACTTCCAATTGCTCTGTGTTGCGACCTTATCCTGTGCATCGATATGTCTTCCTTAGGTAAGCTTCGCCCATTGAAACACCCATTTTGCTACTGATATGTGGTGGTGGCTATGACTTTGTCCATACTCGATATATTGGTGTCCAGAGTCCGGATGTCTCCAGGTTTCAAGGCTCTCAGTTCAAACTGTGCGCTGCTTTTGTCCTAACC